GGCATCATGAAACGCCAAGCACACGCTCATTCGAAAGCAGGTCTTGTAACAGCCAAGCACCGCACACGGCACGTGACTTGTTGGTGAAACGGACGAAGAACGCGCTTCTGCTGTTGTGGGGGGGGATGAAGCACGACATCGTCGGCCCTCGTAGCTGAATCTACGGGAGTGTTGAAAGCCTTGCAAGCCCTGGCCAGAGCAGCTCTCGTGGTTCATGGCATGGCTCTGAGCGCCAATCCAGTCTTTTCTGTTACTTCCAAGGTTGAAACAAGATGTCTCGATGTACAGAATATTTGGCTCGGCTAGCAGACCGACCTGCATCTTTCATGCTCCACAATCAGAGAATGACAGGCTCCCAAAAAAAGCTACACCACACGCTGCCCAGGCTCTCTGATGCTCTACAGGTCTTCACATCAGGGCTGATAAGACATTACCGTGGCTCACTCAAACACAAACCCTAAACCCTAAANNNNCCGCAACCCTGAACCCTAAACCCGAAGTATCCCCGAAATCTCCAAAGCCCGAAACCCTATCTCTTCTGCCGCGGAGCCGACACGACCAGGGCCCCCATTTCGGGCCACAGCGCTGGGCCGAAGGCGTCTTCGAGCTCCTTTGGCTGAAGGCTGTTGAAGGTGCAGCGTGCAGGGTTCAAGGTGTAGGGCTTGAGGCTCAGGGTTTGAAGAACTTTCTTCCAAGGCCCCAAAGCAACATTCCAACATGACAGAGGACTGTCTTCTAAGGCCCCAAGTAAGCCTGAAATGTTTCTAACTGTGGTGGGAACACTGCTCCACTGCGACTACAAACCATGCGACGGAAGCTGCTGGGGGGGGGGGGCCATACAACGTGACACGCCAATGTATGCGCCGTTGCAAGCATCCTAAGTTCCGAAACGCTTTGAGCCCTAGAGCACAGGATACACAGTTGTCTAAGCCCTCACCCTTCGTGCTGGGATGCCTCCACACGCACCTGCAAATCTGGCCGGAGGACTGCCAAGAAGTCCTTCCCAACAGCATGGTGGACAACAAAATCTCGGCTGTGTGAGAACAGCGCAAGCTTCTCTCTCTGGCTTGTCCACCACAGTCGCAGCTCGCTCGCCCCAGTCTTGAAGGATGGACGCACCTGCCTCCAAGCCAGGGGTAACACGAACAAAAAGTGAGGTGACATTGTGTAATCGCTCCCGCGCTAACATCCCTGTTTGCAAGACCGGCAGCGGTTCCGAGCCCTCTGGCTTAGCTTGTGTTGCCGGGCCAAGCAAGATCCCCCAAACCAGAAAACTCTAAGGCTTTAAGAAGCACTGCTCGTACCCGCCTTCTCTCGTAGCAATGGTGGGCCGGAGACACCGATAGCCAGGCCTCGCTTGTTGAGGCAAGGAAGGCATACTTCCGAACTCTCGGAATGGCCTTTGGGACATAATGAATTAATCATGATGCTACTACTACTACTACTACTGCTGCTGCTGCTACTACTACTACTACTACTACTACTACTACTAAATAATATTATAATAGTAGTAATAGTAATAGTAGTAGTAGTAGTAGTAGTAGTAGTAGTAGTCGTGGTGGTGGTGGTGGTGGTGTCATAAAAATAACCATAATCATGATAGGATGAATATTTAATTTGTCCTTGTTAGCTGCTAGCTGAAATTCCGCCGTCACTCTCAGAAGATGAAGCTGGAAGGCTTGCTTCCGAGTGGTGGGTTCTGACACAGGCGGATACCCGGAGACCACCAACCCCTGTAAGCTGCTTGGAAACATGCGACAACGTGCACAAGCCCGGGCGACTCTCTTGATGACGGCTATCTCCACGTTACGTTGACATGCTGCATGCTCGAAAGATTGCAAAGACTCCTGGCACCTCGCTGAGCCATCACAGCGGCCACCGTCAGCAAGACCTGTTCAGGGACACGATCATTGGAGTCGGAGGAGAAAGATGAGAGACTTGACTGACACGCAGGACTATCCCTGATGAGCAGAATGCAAGCATCTTCCTGCAAATCCCTGCTTTTTACCGTGAAAGGTCGAGGGTGCCTTGTGTCCCACGTGCAGCCGATCGAACGTTCCGCCCAAGACCACATGATCCTGACTTGGGCCGGACGACCCAGACACGGAAGCGGCAATTGAACCGTCTCGATTCTGAGCGGAAGGGTAACAAGAAAGGACCAGCCAGGGCTCGAATTTCTCCCCTCGAAATTGGCATGGAGGCGCCCGTCCAGATCCTCCGGCCAAGTACTGCTAAGCTCGCATGGTGCAGATCTGCAATCTACCACTCCTGCACCCAGGTTGGGCAGCACGGACATGTCCTGATGCTGGCAGCACCAGAAAGATTAACAAGACTACTTGCCTGCTGTGCGCCAGACAGTCCTCGAAGATGGGCAGCTTCTCTCGGCGAGCTACGGCCCCAAGGTGCTCGTAGCAGGCTTGCAGGAGCTCTGCCAGCTCTGTAGCGGACTGGAAAACTCCATTGTCTAACCTGCATTGTTGGGGCAATTCACTCTCAAGATCTCTCAAATCCCCTTTGCATCTCAACTCTTATGCTTTTCAAAAGCCGTGGTGCCAGAGTCGCAGCTGGCGTGATTTTGGTGCCCCAGCGACCTGCTGAAAGACGTCTGGAAAGGGTTTCGACGGGTTTCGGCTTAGTCTCGGGTACAGAGCGACACTCCAGGACGAGATAGACGGGCGTGTGTTACCCTTGCTGAGCCTCTATCCACCTTAAAATTATAGGGGCCTTAATAATAGTATGGTTTAAATTATAGGGGCCTTAATAATAGTATGATTTAAATTATAAGGGCCTTAATAATAGTATGGTTTAAATTATAGGGGCCTTAATAATAGTATGATTTAAATTATAAGGGCCTTAATAGTAGTATGATTTAAATTATAGGGGCCTTAATAATAGTAAGGTTTAACGTTTATTCCTAATTTTGCTTCGCCTGCTCCAGGAGGTCCTTCCGGGACAGGGAGGCGTCCACGTGAAGCTCCGCGAAGGAGGGCTGGGGCGGCAGGCGGACTTGGAAAATATTACAGTATATTATAGTATATTATAGTATATTATAGTATATTATAGTATATTACAGTATAGTATATTATAGTATAGTAGAGTATATTTCTTTAACCTCTTCAAACTCTGGCACTCGTCTCCGACTTATCCCGGCTGCGCCTGCGACTCCAAGCGGGCAAGCAGCTCGTGTGCTGCCATGGGTGCACTGACTGCCCAGCCCAAGTATGGTAATCTTGACTCACACTCTTTGGATCTCGTCCGATGTATGAGCTTAAGCCAGACTCGGAAGTCGGAGCTTGGAGTGTCTGTCGTGGCAACAGCTCTTCGAATTCCGAGCTTTTCTCTAGCTTCATGGCAGCAGCTGAAGAAGGCTGGAAGCAGAAGGACATCAAATGCTCAAACAGAGATAAGGGTTGAGACAACCAAAAGTCCTCCTACCATTGTGCTGCCGCAGTCTACAGGTCTACAGGCCTGCGAAAGGCTTCCCTGGACACTTGAGTGCATGTCCCCGCTTTGATGACCAGTATACTATACTATACTATACTATACTATACTATACTATACTATACTATACTATGCTATAATATGACATAATAAAATAATATAATATAGTATAATATGTCATAATACAATATAATATGCTATACTATACTATAATATGATATAACACAAGATACTATAATATACTATACTATACTATACGATACTATACTATACTATACTAGAATGCCTGTGGATGCTCCGAATCTCCTCCGGCTCGCTGTCGGGAGCCTCTCACGGGTCAAGCTCTGCCCAGCGATGGGATTCTTTTGGAGATCTTAGGAAGTGCTGATAAAGACTGAGAGAGGTGCGAGAAGCTCCGACAGGTTTCGTAGAAGTTATCTTCAATTTGTCTCCCCTCTTGCTCTCTGATGCAGCTATGACGGGCCTTTAGCTTCATCAGGCCTCGCACACATGCTCCGAGCTGCGTGAGGACAGGTCCTGGCAAGTGCCAACTGCTCCCGCACGACAGCAGCACCTCTGAATGCTCAGCGCTCGTGAAATCCTGATCCAAGCAAATCTGCTCCATGTAAGCGTCTTCAAAACCCGTGTCATGAACTAAACTCGCCATCTGCCTGACTCATCTACGAGCACGGCGAGGTGTGAGGTGTACGCCTGGCCTGGATAGACTTTGCAAGTTGAACTGTGTCTTTGTTAGCACCGTTAACTCTTGTCAGGATCCTGCCTCCCAGTCCTAGTGCAATGCTTCGTCACACTGAGTAGGGAGCCGAGTTACAGGCTTAGAGCCTTTTGTCGACGATGCAGGCTCAGTCACCGGCCGCTGGACACATCGCGGGAGGGCGCAAGCAAGTGAGAAGCCAAGGCTGCTAGAAGATACCTGGCAAGCGCAAGCTACGGCACAGCTTCCTGGGGTGCAAACTTGTGTCGATCTCTGCAACCCCGAGCTAGTGTCAGCCCACCTTCAAAAACCTGGGGTACATCTCGACTCCAAGCAAAATCTCCCGGTCGTCTGGGCCACGGGAATGGCTGTCAGCACTCCATTTTTACTCGACACTGCAACAGTGCAGCAGGGAAGCACATGTGCAACGGCGGCACCGCTGGAACACAGCTCGCAGCTACTATCGACTAGATTATTCACGAGGCAAGCATTGCAAAGCATAGCTTGCGCAACCAGCGCATGGCGAACATGGCTGACCGGAACACATCGATACTAATATACGTACTGCTACACTGCCAGATATCAACTGTCCTTCTCTCCCAGGAATCCGCGACACAGGTTACAATCAATGCTGCAAACAGAACAACTTCATTCTGGGTGGGAGGTTTGAAGAACAGCTGCCACTGTTGAGGTCTTTCCACCTCAGGAAGCAGAGCCCAGTAACTCTTGAGGGTGCACCGGGATCTCTTTCGACAGGATGTAAGTCAGAATGTCTTGGCTACTGCGTGCCAGGTCATCTGAATTCAAAACTTGCACGGCGCCGCCCCCCATGACGAGGCATAACTTGCCCAAAACATACCCAAACATGAGTCGAACTACTGAGGCATCCAGCTTCAACTGGAAACTAAGCGGAAGCCTGGATCCCAAGCCAAGGCTGAGCCATCCAACACCAAAACCCTGAACACCAAAGCCTGAAGTCTTCAAAAGAGTCCTGAAACAAAACATGGGAACCTACAAAGCTATAAGGTTTCTCAACCCTGATACAGGACAGCTCCTCAACTTCATTCTCGCAGTGCTCGTCTCGTGCTGGATGTACCGCCGCCACCACCACCACCACCACCACTACCGGCGCGACGACTACTACTACTACTACCACCACTACCACCATCACCACCACCACCACCATCACCACCAGTACCACATCACCACCAGCACCACCGCCATCACCACCACCACCACCACAACCATCACCACTACCACCACCACCACCACCACCACCACCAACACCACCAACACCACCACCACCACCACCACCACCACCACCATGACGACGACTACTGCTGCTACTGCTACTACTACTACTACTACTACTACTACTGCTACTACTAGCACTACTACTACTCCTGCTGCTGGTGCTGCTACGACTACTACTACTACTACTACTACTACTACTGCTACTACTACTACTACGACGACGACGACTACTACTACTTCTGCTGCTACTACTGCTGCTACTACTACTGCTACTACTGCTACTACTGCTACTACTACTACTACTACTGCTACTACTACTACTACACTACTACACTACTACACTACTACTACTACTACTACTACTACTACTACT